CTGTAATAATGGATAGGCAACAGTACATGGAGAAATAGGAAAGTAGCCTAGGCAACAGAAATACCTATCAAATAGTAAGAAAGGATCCAACAATGAAGATCAACGGAATACTGAAGAATATGCTCAAGGAAATGCATAATAATGGGGAAATTGACTCATGGATGATGAAATATTTAATCATAAGAGCTCCGACAACCTACGGACTTCCATAGATACACAAAGAAGGGAAACCACTAAGATTAAGAGTCAACAACAAGCATGGCGCAACACACAAACTAGCAAAATTCATTTGCTTGAAGGTTGAGGAAGTAAACAGCAGAGTTTTGAACACTGTGAAGAATTCATATACATTTTCACAAAGGATCCAAAATATTAAGGTGGTAGGGACGGAAATGTTGATGAATTTCGACGTATAATTCATGTACAAAAACATCTCAGAGAAAACAGTCACCGCCCTGCTGGAGGTCTTGGAACGAGAGGAGGATATCCTCGAAGCAGAGCGGACACAGAAGGAGTCGTTAACACAATTAAGCAACCTGACAGTAAAAACCACCTGTTTTACATTACACGGCAATAACTATGAGCAAATATTTGGACTACCGACGGGATCTCTACTCTCACCTCTTTTGGCAAATGTATACATGGACAGATTGGAGAATGAATTCGGCAAGTCACCACTGCAACCAAGAGTGCTTATGCGATACCTGGACGACTACTGCCCTTTGTTCGCATGGTGAGAAAATTTTGGATGAATTCCTCAATTTTATGAACCAACTGGATGGAAGAATTAAATTCAAAATGGAGGTGAAGGAGGATAAACGACTACTCTTCTTGGATGTTTAGGTCATTCGCTTTAACGGAATACTCCAGAGGAGACTATTCAGAAAGAAATAATATGTGGAAATAATCCTCAATTGCCAGTCTCATCACAACTACAGAATAAAGTTCAGAAGAATGAGGAATATGATCATCAGAAACCTAAGACCAACGGACAATGAGTTCTGTAACGGGGAGTTGGTGAGACTGATTCGGATTTGCCTTAGTAACGGAAGAATAGCACAGGACAGAAGGAGAAATACCACGATTGTTTAGCAGGTAATTGGCTAAAGGATGGACTTCACTTTTCTCTTTGACGAGTTTTAGTTGGGTATTAAGAATGGCAAGGCTCACTGACGATGCCGGCGAAGCGTCTGGGAATGTACTACTCCCACGGTCTGACTCTGAAAATTATCATGCATGCTATGGACTCCGTACAATATACGTTCCTCTAGGTCTTCCCGGCAACATGACCAAGTTGTAAAAATAAGGTCAAGCAAGTTCTTTACTTATTTTTTGTTTATAGGTAGGTTACCAGTAGATCATTTATATATGAAGTGTATTTGTTTGTTTGAAAAATATCAGTACTTTTTGAAGAAATTGAATAGGTGCTCTATCTTGTCTATGTTATCACTCAAGTTTAACTGATAGATTCGAAACATTCTAGCGTTGAAACTAAGTGACGCCGTCTATTGAAGTAGCGAATATGGGTCTTTGGCACAAATAGATTTCAAGGCCATTAGTACTTCCTGAATAAGAACTCAATCAGTCAAGGACTCTTAGAGTTGAGCTTTGCCCATAATCAGCTGGATTTTACTTTTCCTTGTCTTCCAAAAGCTTATCATACCCGGACTGGAGGCGACCTCCGACTCCGGGCTCGAGGTTTCGCAGGAGTCGGCCTGACAGAGAGGCATGAAAACGAGGCAAACCAAGGCAGAAGCTCACCTCATAAGCGACGGCTATCTCCCGAAACATGTTGGTCGCCTGGGGCGACTTGTTCTTGTCCGGATGGTATTTCAGAGCCATTTGTCGGTAGGCTTTACGTATTTCCTCTTTGCTGGCATTCCTGGACACGTTGAGGATGTCGTAAAAGTTGCGACCCATAAAGTGGCGGAGGCCGATGTCGGACTGAACTGCTTCACCGGCACCTGCGGCCGATGAACTGGCTCGGCCCTGCGACAGCGGCGCCTTCAAACTAGGCCCAATCGATTCCTCGTGGACAGAACGCTTTGGAAGCCGAGGCTCAGGGGCTTGGCCACGGCGGGACTCGCAGCCAGAGCCGACGAACAGGTGGGGACAAGGTGTCCCCAGACCTCCACCAAAAGCAGACCCTCGATGAGAGGTGTTTACAATATGTTGAAGTAGACGCGTTTTTCATCACGAAGAGTCTTTCTCTCTATTTCTTTCTCTTTCTCTCTCTCTCTCTCTCTCTGTATATATATATATATATATTTACATTTACAGGCTTCGTCCGAATTGAGGTAGCATGTGAAGAATAAGTCTAGAGGTGAGCCATGCCTGGGTGTACTCGACTTCTCTTCTACACACACATACACATACACATACATCTTTCCTTGCAATTGCTTCACATTGATGGACCGCAGAATGGACGGAAGACTCGTCGTATGAGTGCTTTCTATGAACAGCAAAATATGATGACGTTGTCTAGGCGACTTTTGTTTCGTATGAGTGTGCATGAAGAAGAGATTTGAGGGACGATCTAGCCAGAAGAGGGCAGCTGATTTCCGTTGTACTGTTGAAGTTAGGCTTTTATACTACGTTCATGTTGATACAGTCCACGAATCATCCTCCCTAGTTTCGGGTGAAACTGGAATGAGCTTTCATACATCATATGATGGACATCCTTAGAGCTGAAACGGATTCCCGGAAAAGTCTCAAGTTACCACTAGGTCAAGAAGACTATCCGAGTCTATCCTTCTTCTCATACCAGAAAAGCGAAAATGTATAAATATGGATAGATATAGGATGTCTTGGTTAATTATCTTTCAGATTAGTCATGCCACTTTTGTTCAGTGTGTGTGTGTCAATGTCTATACGCAGCCAGTCTTAAGTCAGAGTGATCTAAAAAGCCTAATGTCAGGCTCTGGCCATTAATGGTTAATGACCCAGGAAAAAACCCTAACCGAGACTGCGTAAGTACGTAAGCAAGTATGGTTGAGATAATGAGATATGAGCTTGTAAGCATGTAAGTGAGGTTACGAAACCACTTGTCATAACCTCTCAGTCTAGGGTCATTTACGTTCAACCACTCAAGGAAAGGCATGACTAAGGCGGCGTAATCTTGTACGCCTGGCTTGGTTGATGAGCCTAATCTGACATGTCGGAGGAGTGTGAATGAAGTTAGAGCAACCATCACTGAGCGAAAAAATTGAGTTGCCTTCTTTTGGATTGATGCTCAAACCCCTCTCTTTTCTTCGATCTATCAATCAAGCATAAGTAGTTTGTACTTAACTTTCTACCACCACACTCTTATGAATGTCTTATGCTAGTGGGTCAGCAAAGTGTTTCAGAAAAAGATACACTTGTAAGTTTTGGCGTGGTATCAATGCACATAAATATTCCAGTTTAGGGGACAATTCTGGCTCTAATGCTCACCCTGCAGGAACATTGAGAGACTATGGAGAGGATTAAGTTGAGCATAGCCTCCATTCTAATGCTTTTTAACCTATCCATGAGTGGTAAATATGTCATCTTCAACTATAAGATTTATGAACAGACACAAGGACTTGCAATGATAGCGTATAAATTATATGTCAGATATGCGGATTATTATTATATGATCTGGCAGCATGGCAGGTACAGTTTAGATGGTTTATTATTTACAACTTACCAGCGTAAAAAAATCTTAATTTGGCAATGGAATTAGAAGAAAATAGGAGATAAGCTCTTTTTGATGTTATGGTTATCAGGAAAGATGCTAAATTGGGCAGAAATGTTTACAGAAAATGTGCAGACGCTGGCTATATTCTTTATTTTCTTTCTTAGCATAGTTACAAAATGAAGGTCGGAATTTTAAAATATCTGATTATTAGGAGTATGAGGCTTGTGGGTGAAAATCATCTGACTGAAGAGGTTTAGTCCTGAAGGATAATTTTCCTTTGTGGTTAATTTCTGGTAATAACCTTTTAATGTGGATTACATTTTCAGGCGGAGACTACTTGCTCAGGAATAGGAAAGTCGAGACTCTGTCTCATGTTATAATCGTGTAGCCATGTTTTCTTTCTAAGGTAGGAGAACTGGTGAGAAAGTGGGGGATAAAGACATTTTTTAAAGGAACTCTTACACTTCCGTCAGTTAGGTCTTCTTTTAGAGAGAAATATAATCCACTATTAAGAGCCGGATGTTACAAGATTATGTGCTCCTGTGGTCGATCTTGTGCTGATGAGACTTGCCGGCCATCCGCCAAAGATGAGTAAAATGCCTGTAAGGGTAGCCGATTCGAGCGGCCAGAGGTGGCTGAGTACAGGGCGGAGACTGGAATTGAGATAGAATGGTCTCGGACGCAGAGGCTGCTGATTATGTTATGTCTACTAGAATATGCAAGATAGGAGATGTTATCAAAATTAATAGATCAGGGAATACATTCAATGTGAAGGATGCTGGTAAAAAAGTTGAGTGAGAATTACTTATGCTTGATTGAAGGATTGAATGAGAGAGGGTATTTAGACACCGTTCAAAAGATTATGACTCAACTTGTCAGCTGAGTGATAGTTCTAGCCAAATTCACACTCGTTCAACAGACATGTCAGGTTCAGCAACCAGAACATAGGTACGAGAGCTCGCAATCCCAGTCGTGTTTTTCCCCTAATGACCCCAGACGAACGGTTTCCGACTTGTGGCTGCGTAACATGACTTACGAGCTTATAGGCTTACACCTCATTAATTCACCAGAATTACTTACGGACTGACGCAATCTCGGTCATACTTCTTTCTTGGGTCATTAAGTCTTGATGATCCAAAGCTAACGTCAAGCTTTATTCTAATTACTCGGAGTTATGTCCGGGTTTGCGTACATACGTTAACACATATACGCACAGACATACCTGAGTATAGGTTAATTAACCAAACCCTTCGATATCCATCTACATTAAATTTTTTTCGCAATGATTATATATATATATATATATATCATATAGGAAAAAGCCAGTAAGTCTTCTTGACTTAGTGTTAATTTGAGGCTTCTTCAAAAATGAGTCCCAGCTCTGACGATGTTCGTGATATGACGAACGAAATCTCAGCCCGTCTTCACCCGAAACGTTTAAGGATGTATCGTGGACTGCATCAACCTGAACGTCGTATTCAAGCCAAACGGCTGCAGGACAACGCGAATAAGTCCGTGTCTTCTGGTGGGCTTTGACTACGAATCTCTCCATCATATGCACTTTCATATAAAATGAAAGTCTTCACAACGATTGAGTTTCAGACAATGAAATGAATGGTAATATCTAGTAGTACAAGTAATATTAGGAAGGCTTTGTAAAATCGTCGAGATTAATGGAAAAACGTGTTTGCCTAGCGAAATCATTGTCAATATAAAATGTGAATTGGAAGAGGTGTATTTCGGGTTGGACGGCCGAATAGTAACGCGTCACTTCATGATGCACTTGACTCAATCTCGAGTCCCGTGGACCGCACGGATTAAAAATGCTAATGAAATATTACGCAAGTTGGCCACTTCATAAAAAGGATGATCCGCTTAATATATTTCGACCGAGTACTTGACAATAAAGTCGACGTACAAAATGTCTTTCAGCCTGTACAGACATATCGGCTCACAAATCCGTTTTGAAGTAGCTTGAGGGTAAAGTGAACAAGTGTCATAATTTTTAGATTTACTCGATCGACGGTGATTGTGTCTAAATAAAGCCATCAGCATACCCTATTCCTTGGCAGATACCTTCTGATTTCTAGACCAATGCTT